TATTTAAAAAAAAGAAAAAAAAACCCAGTAAAAATCGGTGCTCTTGCAAAAATCGTGATTTCACCGTCGGGTGTGACCGGATCAAAACACCTAAAGTATCGTTTGGTAGCTCGATGAATGGGCTATTGTATGACACACTTTCTGTCTGATTCCTGAAAGCCGGTTCAGTGCTGCTTGCAGGTCTAGTTATTATTATTATTATTATTTACCGCGGGAGCCTATTTCTCCATGATCGGAAACAGATATCCATCTGGAACCAAATTTTCTATAGGGAAACCATGTGGTGGTTACTTGATAAAGTATTTTTCAAACTTCTGCGCAGACCGGAAGTGGCCGAATTTTGAACGGTAGCAATAAATCAAAAAGCGGCCGTGGTTTCGCCAATTCTTTACCTATTTTAAAACAATTCAAATTTTTGGAAACCCTGAATCTTTTCCGAGACAATGGCCATCTCACATTTTTGAATTTTGAACATTCATCTATGGCTTTTGTCGTTCGAAATTTGAAAGTTTAAATTTTTACAAAAAACTTTTTTATTTATGAATATTTTTTAGTCGTGTTTTACATAAAATTAACGAGTCATCTGACTTGGGCAAAAATGTGAATTTTTTTTGTCTCAGTAATTATCCTTAGCCACCATTGGCTAATTCAGTTTTTCATTCTTAGATTAATTATTTATTGCTCGATTTGTATAAATCAAAGTTCATATACTCCGTTGTCTCAATTGTCATTTTTTTTGTTACCGATAGAGATATCTGTCGGCACCGGAAGTGGCTTAATTTTACCAAAAACTACAATTTTGACAATTAGGTACCAATTTTTCGAAAGCAAATATTTTTTTTTTAAAAACTGATATAACTCTAAAAGAGTGTGCCCTTTAAAGGCGCACAAAATGTTGGGATCGGTTTTTTTAACTTCGATTTCATTTTCGAGCAAATTCGATTAAGAGGTGAAAAAAGGTGTAAAATTGACTTATTTACAACCCATTCAGGCTTTTCAGATTTTAAAATATTTCTACGTAACTTTTATAAACTTGTAGCTATAATCCATACGAAGAAAATGTATGTTAAAATTAGTTTGTAATATAAGCAGTTACCTAGAAATGGGCAATTTTGCCTAAGTCACTGTTTTCGTTATTTTGCCTGTAAAATAGTCAATTATTATTGGATTTTCACAAAAGTGACACCATTTGATTCAAAAAGAAAGTATGCGTCGTATCAAATTGATTACAATTTAAAATTGACACCGGAAGTGACGCCATTATGTCAAAAAATGCATTTTTAACTTTTAAAATCAATATTTTTTTCAACCAAGAATTATTTAATATGTATTAATAATTTTAACTTTTGGTTTACATTCACATATTAATAAAATTCATAAGGTCATATAGATTTCACAAAATTGTTTCTAACTTGTTCAGTTGCGGAGAAATAGGCGATTTTCAACAGGTCACTTTTCAAGGTTTTTGGTCCATAAAAGTGTCAATTATTATTCGATTTTCATAAAATTTTCACTGTGTGATACCTAATGCCATTTACAATTTCATACAAGTAATTTAAGATTGTCATTGTCACCGGAAGTAACGTCATTTTGGCAAATGAGTCTGATTTGTAATGTTTTTAAAATTATGACATTTGATTCCAATCAACAAATAGATTGAACCCATACGATCATACAAATACCAGAAAATGGTTTCTAACTTGTACGGTTGCAGAGAAATAGACGGTTTTATACAAGTCACTTTTCAAGGTTTTTGGTCTATAAAAGTGGCAATTATTATTCGATTTACATAAAAATTTTCACCATGTGATGCCTTATGCCATTTCTGATTTCATAAAACTAATTGAACATTTTCATTATCACCGGAAGTACTGTACACTTACATGTAACAAATGTATAAAATGAATTGATATTGCTGGATTTGGTTGATTCGGCGTCCATTTTATTTGATGCGTGCAATGCTTATGTGGAAACCTGTTTAATGGTTTCATTGGTACCGGAAGTGACAAATGTTTAGGGTAACGTGGCACCGATGAAACCGTACTCATAAAAATATTTGATATTAAAAAAAAACCCAGTAAAAATCGGTGCTCTTGCAAAAATCGTGATTTCACGGTCGGGTGTGACCGGATCAAAACACCTAAAGTATCGTTTGGTAGCTCGATGAATGGGCTATTGTATGACACACTTCCTGTCTGATTCCTGAAAGCCGGTTCAGTGCTGCTTGCGGGTCTAGTTCTTCTTCTTCTTATTATTATTATTATTATTATTCCAAATAATTTTTGATTAGATCTCAGCAACTGCTTGTCGGATCGTTACGATTTCTTCGATTTTACTGGAAAAGTGGGTGTGACTTAGAGGATAAAGCTATTTTGATTGTTCTGCGACAATGCGAAATGTCCGAAATCACCGAAGCTATCGTTTTTAGAAATATTGCAGTAATTTTAACAATAATCATTGGATTTTAACTTTCGATACATTTTGGCACAGCCGGACACAGGGCACATAGTTACGCTACTTTTGATTTTTGATTTTCGGCAAATCTTCGCAGATATTAGGTGCCAAATTTCGAATATTTTTTAGTCGGGTTTTACACAAAATTAACGAGTCATCTGACTTGAGGAAAAATCTGATTTTTTTTTTGTCTCAGTAATTTTCCTTGGCCGCCATTGGCTAATTCAGTTTTTCAGTCCTAGATTAATTATTTATTGTTCGATTGGTATAAAACAAAGTTCATATGCTCCGTTGTCTCAATTGCCATTTTTTTTGTTACCGATAGAGTTATCTGTCGGCACCGGAAGTGGCGTAATTTTACCAAAAACTACAATTTTGACAGTTAGGTACCACTTTTCGAAAGCAAATATTATTTTTTTCAAATCCGGTATAACTAAAAGGGTGCGCCCTTTAACCCTCTCGTTACGTAAGCGCCCGAAACCGCCCGTAACGTCCTGTACGGGATCGCCCGATGTCGCCCGAAATGACGGTCGGTAAAACTCAGTAATTTTCCACTCGGAACAAAACTCTCACGTGACTAACGACAACTGGAGTGTACTGTAAACATAGCAGTATTCAAAATGGCGGCCTCCGTGAAATTTTTTATATTGAAGAGTTTTGTGTAAAAATGAAGGTTTTTCGTTGAATTTTTGAATGGCGTCATCGGATTCAGACGGCGATTTTAATGGATTCGATTCTTATGACGTTGAATGTGCCGAATTGAAGCAAAAAGAGGTAATAAATGACCGTGAATTGGATGATAATTTTGACGATGAAAGTGACATTGAAATTGAACAAGGACTGGAATACGATTCGTCTGGAGAGTCTAGCAGCGAAAATGATGACTTTGAGGACATATTAAATAGGGACGATCTCGAATGGAGTCAGATTACTCGCAAGGTAATTATCAAACGTTTTTCGGCAAAACAAGGACCGACTAATTTTCCAAATGTAGGTCAGATTGACATGGTTGATGGCGCCGGAGATGGTTCCAAGTTGCCTCCAGCTTCCGCATATTTTGATCAGTTGATTCCTAATACTTTTTGGGAGACATTGAAATTAGAGACAAACCGTTATTCATCTCAAAATGGACGTGATGTAAATATATCAGTGAGTGAACTGAAAACTTTTATAGGTATTACAATGCTGATGGGGTTGATTGTTTTGCCGTCCCTGAAACAATATTGGTCGTCGGACCCCTCGTTGAACAGTGACTTCATAAGGAAGTGCATGTCTCGTGACAGATATTTTGCAATTCAAAGAGATTTGCATCTCACCGATTCTACTAAACAGCCAGCTAAGGGTGCAGATGATTTTGATTGTTTGTATAAAGTAAGACCCATGATAGACATGTGCAAAAAATCTTTTAGAGAACAATATGATCCCCCACAAAATATAAGTATTGATGAGGGTATGGTTAAGTATAAGGGTCGCCTCGGATTTGTACAATACATGCCCATGAAACCCACGAAAAGAGGTATAAAAGTTTGGATTGCTGCTGCGTCTGATACAGGTTACGTACATGCCTTCAATGTTTACACTGGCAAAAGCCTCGACGGAGTACAAGAAAAAAATCTTGGACACAAGGTTGTTATGGACCTTATGGAAACCATGTTATACGAGTATCGACATGTTTACTTCGATAATTTTTTCACTAGTATTGATTTGGCAATCGAACTCTTGAATAAAAAGACATACTGCTGTGGTACTATTCGGTCCAATAGGAAATACTATCCACTATCACATGTTCATAAACTTGCTAAAGGCAGTACCAAATTTATTCAAAGTAACAACTTGATCGCAACAGCATGGCAGGATAAAAAGACGGTGCACATTTTGTCTACGAACTGTGATGCTGAAATGTCGGTAGTACAACGCAGAACAAGAGCTGGAATTATTGAAAATGTTTCAAAACCACTTTGCATAATTAATTACAACAAATGTATGGGGGGAGTAGACTTGGGTGACCAGCTCCGCCAATACTATTCTTTTGGCCGTACAAGCCTAAAATGGTGGCGCTATTTGTTTTACTTTTTATTAAATGTTGCATGTGTAAACAGCTTTCTGATTTATAAGCTTCACATGAAAGCACTGGGTAAAACCCCAATGACTCAACTTGAATTTCGTCATTCGCTGGCTAAGTGTTTGATTGGTGGAGCAGTTTCTAAAAGTTACAGACGCACCCCAAAACGTAAATTAGAAAACGTGTTCGATGAAAGCAACATATCTGGTCATTCGCTAGTTCATTTTTCTGGGCGCAAACGTGTGTGTGTTTTGTGCAGTGCCTCAGGAAAACGCGCACCAAGTGGTAGAGGGATCCAATCGTCATTCGGATGCAATATCTGTTCTGTTAATTTGTGTAAAACATGCTTTCCACTGTACCACGCATCTCAGTCAAAATAGACATTTGTAATAACAATGAACTTGGACCAAAGATTTGTTGATATTTTGCTGATTTTAAAATGGACTATGTTCTAGTTTTAATTTTTACTTTTTATTTATTTCAGAGTTATGTTACCCAGTTCACTTTTATGAAGTTTGAGTTCAGAAGTTTGAGTTCAGAAGTTTGAGTTAAAATTTAAAAAGTTTTGAGTTCAATTTACAAGTTTGAAAGATATACATGTACATGTATAAAGATGGTTTTATAAACTCTTTGGTGTTTCTCATTTTTTCCCCAGAATGTTTCTGGATATCTTCCTTCAGATACATGTATACAACAGATTTACCTGGTATAAATAACATAAATCCAATCCATTGAAGTCGCCGCCCGAATTTGATGATAGCACCCAGAAACTCAACAAAAAATTGTTTATTTTTGTATATTGAGCTTTTTCAATGGAATACATGTTAACACCATTAAGCCTTAAAAACTACAGCTTTGTACATTAATATTAAGTTAAATAAGTCAAGGTAAGCAAAATATGTCGACAACCTAACGGTTTCCTCCGTCGCAACAATCACAGTACGGTTGACGACTTTGTTACTCTTTTACTAAAATGGTTGCCATTTTTTTATTTACCATCAGATTTTCAAAAATATTGTACCATTGTGAAGGAAATTAAATTCTCCTTAAAATGAAATTAACTTGTCAGATTAATTTTGAACTTTGTAGCATTAAGTTTTTCTCCAAAGGTTATCTTGAAAAAAATTTCAAATTTTTTTTCAGATACATCTTATGATACATAAGTAGTGATGAGAGATGCATATTTCTAGTTGACTCTATTGGAAAGAGAATTCAATTTCCTTTCAGAAAATCATAACTTGTCTTCTTTGAAAGTTGATAGGTTTTGAGCTATAATCACATGAACATTTCGCATATTTTTTTGACGTTTTTTCTGAATATTGTCAGGATTTGGCGTCATACATTATAAAACTCACTAGTAATGAAAGGGTTAAAGGCGCACAAAATGTTGTGCCCAGTTTTTTTTAATTTCGATTCCGTTTTCGGGCTATTTCAATTAAAAGGTGAAAAAAGGTGTAAAATTAAGCTATTTACAACCCATCCAGCGTTTTCATATTTTAAAATATTACTTCGTAACTTTCATAAACTCGTAGCAATAATCTATACGGAGAGAATGTATGTGAAAATTAATTTGTAATATGCACAGTTGCCGAGAAATGGTCAATTTTGCATGAGTCACTTTTTACGCTATTGTGCCTGTAAAAGAGTCAATTATTATTGGATTTTCATAAAAGTGACACCATTTGATGCATAATGTCAATTGTGATTAGTTCAACTCAATTTAACATTTTCAATGTCACCGAAAATGACGAAATTTGGGCAAAAACTGTATTTATAGCCTTCGAAACAAATAATTTATTCAAATGAGTCGTATTTAGTGTTTGTTTAAGATTTTGATATTTGATTCTAATCAACTAAAAGAATGAACCCATACGATCATATAGATATCACAAAATGGTTTATAACTTGTTCAGTTTCGGAGAAATAGGCAATTTTCAACAGGTCACTTTTCAAGGTTTTTTGTCCACAAAAGTGTCAATTATTATTCGATTTTCATGAAATTTTCACTGTGTGATACCTAATGCCATTTACGATTTCATACAAGTAATTTAAGATTTTCATTATCACCGGAAGTAACGTCATTTTGGCAAAAACTGTATTTTTAGCCTTCAAAACAGATATTTTATTCAAATGAGTCTGATTTGTATTGTTTTTAAAATTATGATATTTGATTCCAATCAACAAATAGATTGAACCCATACGATCATACAGATACCAGAAAATTGTTTCTAACTTGTACGGTTGCAGAGAAAAAGACGATTTTCTACAAGTCACTTTTCAAGGTTTTTGGTCTATAAAAGTGGCAATTATAATAATAATAATCATTTTGTATAGTGCTGAGTGCTCCAGCTAACAGCTGCTCCGCGGCGCTTTTCACAATTAAAATATTACATATAATATAAAACAAATAGTTCTAAAACATTAAAATGTCAACATGTTCATAGTTTAAAAGCACGTTTAAAAAGTTCGGTTTTAAGATTTTTTTTAAAAACAGCAACGTTAGTAGAGTCTTTTACATGTCTAGGTAATTCATTCCACACGTTAGCAGAGGCGTAAACAAAAGCCCGTTCACCAGTTTTAGTTTTTACTGTAGGAACATGAAGTAAGTTTTTATCAGCAGAGCGTAGGTTCCTGCTTGGTTTATACGGGGTTAAAAGTTCATTAAGATATTGTGGGGAACAGTTATTATTTAGACAATTAAAAGTTAAAAGACCGATCTTAAAATTAATTCGTTGATAAACTGGTAGCCAATGAAGATTTTGGAGTACTGGAGTAATGTGTTCAGATTGTTTAGTTAGAGAAACGATACGTGCAGCTTTGTTCTGAATTTTCTGGAGTCTGTTTATATCTGATGCTGGTAATTGGTATAGAAGCGAATTGCAGTAATCTAGTTTGGAGAGAACGAAAGCGTTAGTTAACATTTTAGCGATATTTGACGTTATAAATGGTCGAAGTTTACCAATGTTGTAAAGATGAAGATTTAATGATTTGCATGTAGTAGAGATGTGACTTTTCATTTTAAGATCGTGATCAAAGTAAACTCCAAGATTTTTAACTGATTGGGAGGATGTTATTGTTGAATCACCGATTTTAACGGATTGAGAAAGAGATTTTCTGCTGATTAAGATGACCTCTGTCTTATCATCATTTAATTTTAGGAAATTAAGATTCATCCAATTTTTTATGTCATCTATACAAGCCTCAAGTTTACAGATTTCGGTGGAGTCACTCGGTGGTTTCAAAGCAAGATACAGTTGTGTGTCGTCAGCATAAAGATGAAAGTTAATTCCATGTTTTCGGATGATATCGCCAATTGGTGTTGTGTAGGCAGTGAATAAAAGGGGACCAAGAACCGACCCCTGCGGAACTCCAAAGCGTAGGGTTTTGGGAGACGATGTTGCTTTCTCAATGACTACATACTGTGACCTGTCAGTTAGATAAGAGCGTATCCATTTTAGACATAGTTCATCGACGCTAAAACGTGTTTGTAACCGGTTTAATAGAATATCATGATCAATAGTATCAAAGGCGGCACTTAAGTCTAGTAACACTAATACGACAGACTGTTTATTATCTATGTTAGTAACAATATCGTTATATACTCTCAGCAGTGCTGTTTCAGTGCTGTGACCCTTCTTATATGCTGATTGAAATTGTTCGTCAAGATTGTTAATAACAAAATGGTGTTTTAGTCTCGTGGATATAACTTTCTCAATTAGTTTTGATATGTATGACAGATTAGACACAGGTCGAAAGTTCTTTAAGTTATTCGGGTCTAGATTTGGTTTCTTCAGTAGCGGTTTAACATGGGCGATTTTTGTGAACTGGCTTACATTACCATGCATAATTGATGTGTTAACAATATGTGTAATTATTGGTAAGAGTTCATTTATACACAGTTTAAGTAACCATGTTGGTATTGGATCAAGGTTGCATGAAGAAGACGAAGATTTACTTATCAAATACTTGAGTTCTGTATTAGAAGCAGGAGAAAAATTTGTAAGGGGTGAACCAGCGAAGGGTTTTTCTTCACACAAGGCAGTAGATATATGATCAGGAAATTCGGAACGAATTTTATCTATTTTTTCATGAAAGAATGTTGAGAACTTTTCGGTTAACTTAGTACTTGTATTTTGAAATCTGTGGCCTTGGTTCTTTAAGAAACTGGAAGTGAGCTTATAGATTTGACGTGGGTTTTTCTTATTTTGGATAAAGCTATTGGAAATGTAACTGCGTTTTGACGAAGAGATAAGACTGTTAGTTTCATTTCTTGCTTGTTTATATAAGTCACGATCAATTTCAAGTTTAGATTTACGCCATCGCTTTTCAGCTTTACGTCGGTCAATCTTTGACTGTCGAATGTCATCTGAAAACCATTTTCTATTCGGTCGTAAAATAATGTTTCTTGTTACGACTGGAGCATGTTCATCAAGTATGTTTGTTAGTACTGCATTATAAAGTTTGATTTGATCATCAACATCAGGAATTTCCTGGACACGATCTAAAAGTTTACTACTTGTTATCGATGTTTTAAAATCTTCAACGCTCAAATTCTTTGTATTGCGATAGGAAATTAAAGTTCTTTTTGGTTTTGGTTTTGCGAAAATCAGTTCACTAATAACACAATAATGATCTGAGATGAGATTATCTTCAACCTTCAAAGATTTGATCAAGTCACTGTTGGCGCGGGTTATCACTAAATCTAGAATATGACCACCCTTGTGTGTTGGTTGAGAAACATGTTGATGTAAATGAAATGAGTTTAAAACCTCTTTAAATCTGTTAACTGTCGAGAAATTTGATTTGTCGACATGTATATTAAAATCTCCAAGTATTAAAATATCTTCAGGACCATCCAGAATACCGTGTAAGAAATCCGAAAATTCATCTAGAAAAGTGTCAATTGTACATTTATTAACTCGTGACTGGGGCGGTCTATATATAATAACTATCAGAAGGACACAGCTGTTTAACTGAATGTTATTTTGAAGAATTTCAAAGCTGGAGTATGTAGATGATGCAACACACATAACATTAATTGAGTCTTTGTGGATAAGGGCAACACCACCGCCATTTCTATTACAACGGTTAACAAGCGAATATTTATAGTTATCTGGAATAAGTTTGTTAATGACAAAACTGTCATTAGGTTTCAGCCAAGTTTCAGTCGATACAAATAGATCAAAATCATTTTCAATAATGAATTCATTAAGTTCATCTGCTTTATTTCTCACTGATCTGGAGTTCACAAGACATAAATTCACGAACTGACATGCATTTTGTTTCGATTCCGGCTTGACCTTTATAGGACAAATTGAAATTAAGTTGTTGTGGTTAACATGGTTTGTACTTATCTTAGATTCTCTCACTGTGATAATAGATTTAATCCTTCTTTTACCCCCTCTCACACCTCTCTTAGTTGATTTAACATTAATCAACTGAGGCTGTTTAAAAGTAGAGTAATTTTCTTGTTTATGTTGATAACAGAGCTCACCAATCTTCAACAACTCAGCTTTGGTGTAGGTGATCATATTCACATAAACTCACAGTTGAAGTAAAATATAAATGAAAACTAAATTGCAATTTCTGCTAATATATCCAATAAAATAGATAAACAAGTTCCACTAAACTGATCTTCAAATCAAAACACAGGTACATGCCAAAATTAGCATGGTTTAAAGATTGTTATATCCTTTAA